TATATATGTATGTATATTTATATATATATATAATATATAATATATAATATATTATAATTTTTTACATAATTTTTGTATATTCCCGAAGTATATTTTTGGCTATGATGTGCCTAAGTCTTCTTAAAGTCGCATATTACTATCATATATATATAATATATATATATAATATGTACACATGTATATATATATAAATATAAATATATTTCCATAACTTCATTAATAAATATTTCATTAATATTCGTTATTATGTATGGTAATGATATAAATAAAGTTGTTGGTGTATGTAACCGATAAATTGTCATATGCTTGTCGTAATATCTCACGGTTCTTAAAGTTAATTGTTTTTGTTCTAAATAGTCATAAGGAAGAATTCTGCCCTTTGCCTTCAAAAGAATTTGCGTGCGCCTTAAATTTAGTTCAGGTAAATTTGGCAACCAATTTAGCTAAATACGAAATGAGTGATATTTTAATTCAACAGATAAGAGCAATAATGTATTTACCTCAACTAAGTACGACTATTTCTATTTGTTAGTTTCAAGTCTAATTTTGGTCGCATGTTTTGAAACGTGCTTGTTTGCATAAAATAAGCCCAATTCCAAAACAGTATTTATTCTGTAATTTTATTCTGTTGAGTTGAGTTTAGCTCTCGGCTCGTTATCACTACACACATTTCCGTTTGTTCTGCAACCACTTGTCCAAATGCACATAGCCAATATTTATTATGCACCCTACCAAAATGTTTACTTAAAGCGAGTAAAGTTGAAACAGGTGAGCTGCAACTGATCCGATGAGTTCCATAAGCAACCGTCAGCGTTGCGAAGTTGAGTATTTGAGCATTTTAAAGTATCTACAAGTAACGACAGAGACTGACAGAGAGCAGTTATTTCGGTTGCTAACAGCAGGTAGTTCGGTTGCTCGTTGCTTGTTTTTTAGTTCGCCTTGTTTTACCGGTGATGTTGGTAACAAATTTTGAGTTTTCTGTCAGTTGCTAGACGGTTTCGACATGTGATTGTGACTGTGCCTGTATATCGCGTTACTTTGTGATTTGTTTCATATGAAAAACGTAAATGTTGTTTAGAAATAGTTTTTTCAAGGAATATTAATCAAAGCAAATTTTATTAAACCAGTTAATGCATTTAAATAAATTAAGTCACATATACGAGTAACTGTATTTAAATAATATAAAATAAACATAAATATGTATATTAATTAAAGTGTTAAATTACTGTTGTGTTATTACCCACGCCTTATGATAATATAAAAAAATAATTATCTAAACATTTTTTTTTGATGCAGTGCCCTCTATTGCTGGCTACTGTGAAATAATAAAAAAAGGCAACACGTATTATCGGGTCAGTGTGTTCTTTTGTATTTTTAAACCAAAAAAAACAAAAACAAAATGAACTTAATTGAAGTTGTAGTGTAAAATTAATCTAAAGCAGTTTAATGCATATTTGCCATACATTGCAATTTAAGTGCCAACTACCAGTTGGTCTTTATAGCTCGTAAACCGTAGGCCGTAAAATCAAAGCAGTGCATTATTTTGTGGTAAGAATTGTAGTTTTATTTTAGCATGCGAACATGCATTTTAAGTTGGTCTTCTGCAATAGGCAATAGCCTGCAATATGTAATCAATTTTATGAATATAATTAATATTTACAATCAAATTGATGACAATATAGTGTTTTTATAGATGGTTTTTAACGTGACCATAGCGCAGAAACGTGCGTTAAGTATGCAAACAAGTTCCAGCCTATTAATATGCATAGAATTTATCTATCTATATTGCATGTATTAAAGTTATAAAAATTGTTGGTGTGAGTTTAGCATATTTAGTAATCATTAACAGTTTTAAAGACATTAAGTATAGATAATTCAAGATAGGAGTAACAACTTTCTAAACTAAAGATTTTCTAAATCATTTATTATAAACTAATGTCCGTTAACTCATTTAATCTTACATATTATGCCAGGTTATATTAATATACGATATTTATATTTTGAAATAAAGTGGTTAGTTGAATAATTAGAATTTATTTATTATTATATATTAATAATAAATTTTTATAACATTTTTTTTTTAGTGTGAAATTAAGAAGCTATTAGTTTGACGTACTTTAAGTATCAGTATACTTTAAGTAGTTGTTATAAAAATTTTTTTACCGAAATCAATTGTCAAAACACTTAACGTTAAAGGTGTTCTTGAGAAATTATCAAGCCTTATGGGATATTTACTTATTATTATAAATATACAGCAATTCGAATCCGATAATTCGAAATCGCAAGGGAACATCATTTTTACGAATTAGAAGGGTTTTCGAATTATCGAGATTTCGATTTAAGAAGGTTAAAAAAGAAGAAACAGGGCTTTTATATTTCAATTGATTTTTACATATTTTATATACATAACTTTATTAGAACTAAATAATCCAACTTAATAAGAAAATACAAACATAAAAAATTATATGAAGAAAGATCTTTTCTATCTTTTCAATTGATTTTTCCACATTTAAGCAATCAAAAACATTTTTTGAACATCATGATTTGAAACATAATATCGTAGTTGTTGAATGACCCATTTGACTCGTTAATTCGTTATAAGTTATTCCTCACCGACGCTATCATCCTCATCGCACTCATTATTAATAGCCGCAA